AGCCTGTGCTCCGCAACGGGAGAGGCCACAACAGTGAGAGGCCCGCGTACTGGAAAAAAAAAAAGAATGGCATGTCTAACTAGAGAAAGCCAGTGCGCAGCAATGAAGACCCAATGCAGCCAAAAATAAAAAACTAATAAAAAAACAAAACAAAACAAAACAAAAAAACACATGTCTCCACTCAACTCTTAATTAAATGGAATAATTTTTTCACTTAGATTTTATACATCTATTTAGAGATTACTTCTAGGTATTTTTATGTTCTTATGATTATTAGGAATGGAACCTGGTTTTCGCCAGTATATTTTCTAGCTGGTTATTTTTAGTACATAGAAAGTTGCTGATTTAGGGACACTTCTTATATGACTCCACTTAAATTGAAACTCTTAGGTACTAGATTTAATTAATTCTCTTGGATTTTAAAAATAGAATATCATTATATGTTCCTTGTAATATTGATAATTTTGTCTATTTTCTAATAGTTTTACTTCTTATCTATATTTTATATTATGATTATAGTTACTAAAACTTACCCAAAAATGTTGAAAAGATGTTAAAACATGTATCCATAAAACTACTGTTAATGGGATGCTTCCAGTGTTTCATGTTACACTCTAACATGCAGTGTAATATTGGCTGTCAGTCTGAGACTGATATTCATAAGCAAGTTCAGGTAGTTGCCTTGTAGACCTAATTTTAAAAGTAGTTTTTAAAAATCAGGAATATATCTTGAATTTAATCGAATACTATTTTGGCATGTATTGATCTACTTGGTCTTTGAACTACCAAAGAGGTAATTCATTTGTATACTTGTTGCCTTTTTATAAACAGATTTTAAAAAGTCATCTCTTACTATTATAAAATATAAAACACCCATACAAACAGCAGTAAAAGGCAATTATCACATCCTTACTTTTTTTTTTAAATTTAGTTTAATTTTTAAAAATTTTGACTGCGTTGGGTCTTCATTGCTGTGCGCGGGCTTTCTCTAGTTGTGGTGAGCAGGGGCTACTCTTTGTTGTGGTGTGCAGGCTTCTCATTGCAGTGGCTTCTCTTGTTGCAGAGCACGGGCTCTAGGTGCACAGCCTTCAGTAGTTGTGGCACGCAGGCTCTGTAGTTGTAGCTCACAGGCTCTAGAGTGCAGGCTCAGTAGTTGTGGTGCATGGGCTTAGTTGCTCTGTGGCATGTGAGATCTTCCTGAACCAGGGATGGAACCCATGTCCCCTGCACTGGCAGGTGGATTCTTAACCACTGTGCCACCAGGGAAGTCCACATCCTTACTTTTTATATTTAGAAAAAGATTTAAGAGCATTTTATACTTTGGTGTTTAAAAATTCAAGTGTCTATGTTTCAAACATAACATTTTCACCACGCTAGTGTTACAAAATATTTTAATTAAAATGAATATCCTCAAATGCCTGTTACATGCAAGAAAGCACTACAGTAAGCAGCACTGCAATGGATAAAAAGATAAGCAAAATTAGGTCCTTGGCCTCCCGGAGGCTTATAGACATGTTGTGTGTTGGGGGGGACAACTAGACAAGAGCCCAACTGAGTGAAGGTAACAAGTACCAGAAGAGCACAGAGGAGTGAACAGTTGCTGCTGGTGGGAAGGAAGTTCAAGGAGCGCTTCCTGAAAGGCAGCAGGGCCTGTTCTTTGCAGGACAGGCAGCTACTACTGTCTGGCAGGGTAGGTGGAAAGGTGATCTAGACAGGCCGCATCAATGGGGAAGATAAAGGCACTGGGTGGATGAAGCTGTGCACCTGAGTCCCCAGTGACAAAGCATAAACTATTCTAAGATATTCTACTGGATTTTAAAGTAACAATCAAAAGGTGGGATCAATGTATCAGTAGGATATAAAATATGTGTTAGAAATATGGCAATATAAAGAAAAATTCTGAGTTAATCAGAAAAGTTCCAGATAAAGATCTTAAAGAAATAAGGATTGTTTACCAAGATGTTACATCAAACATTCCTTTGAAAAATATTTTAGATAGTGAATATTTACATTTGGGGATAATTAATTTTAGGAGATGATGCCACCAAGCAGCATATTAAAAACTAGTGGCTGCCTGTTCTACAGGTGCACCATTGCACTGATATGTTAAAGGGTCAGTAGCTTGTCACGTGCTGCTCCAAAAGGAGCCGCCCTTGGTGAAAGCATGCTGCCCAGGTCTCCAGGACAAACTTCTTGCTATGTTATCATGTCAGCATGCCTAAAATGTGGTGAGACTGACACTCAGCTTCTGACTTTATGCTAATACATTATCCCATTAGTGGCTTTTACCTTTTACCTTGCTCATTCCTGGAACCAGATGCACCCCTGGTTGAAGAGGATACAACTGCATACCAGATTTAGGAAGGGATGTATTAAGGGAAAGAACTATTTTAAAAGGCTCTCCAGATTCTTGGCTTGGACAGCCTTCTTCCTGCGTGCTGATCCCTCTTGGCTATGGGGCACACAAACCACCTCTACCAATCTAACTAGTGTGCAGTTTTCCTGATTCTCTGTTTACCAAAAAAAGGTCTCTTAAGCCAGTCTTAGTGAACAGAAAGCTTAGTCAAGTGTTCACAGAGAGCACAACAAATGTGGACCATTCAGTAGGCTGTGAGCCATAGCTGCTGAAATTGTAGCTAGGAACTGCCTTGGTTCCCTTCTTAAAGGCTGACAGGCCATCTGAGCCAGCCTACTTGATCTCTTGCTGCATTTCACTTGTAAAATGCTATTAATATCTGCCATCAATTCCTCTCAAAGTAGTATATAAAATTTCCTGGATAGGTATACTCCTTATAATCATTTGGCCACAGCAGTGTATGAGTTCACTTCAAAAACTACTGTAATTTTGAACTTGCTGGTTTACTCACTCACACACACACCCAAGCCTGATAGTTGTGTTAATTCAATGACTTTTTAAAAAATTTGGATAGTATTTGTATTTGGAAATGCATGTTAATCTTTATATGGATTTACCAGTCCTTGACCAACACGTTTTGTAAAAATCCTACAAACCCATTTCATCGAATTAATTAGTACGGAGGACTTTCTGGAAATGGTTTGTTTTTTAAAATAAGGAGCTTATCTGTAAGCATGATCCAGAGTTTGCCATATGACAAGCATTTCTTAATAGCAAGGTCCATTTTAGTGTTAATCTTCATAGTCAGTCCATTTCATCAGGAAAGGCTTTCGTGTCTTCATAGTCTTAGGATCTGTTTTTCAGTTCACCAAATAGGGTGGGAATTTTATCAGAATGAAGTTATTAGAACTTTGGGATTTTCTTCTTTCTCCATTGAATCTTTTGTTTTTTTCCTATATCTGAACCTGAAAATAAGATAAGTGCTAAAGAAAATTAAATATTTAAGACTCCCCTCCTCAAAATGCCAAACTGACACTGAAAAACATTTCTCCAGTCAATGAACAGGTAAGTATTTTAACTCTAATAAGAGCCTCATGAGTCTAGAGCTAGTATTCTATGATTTTATAGTTTTCCTGAGGAAAGAAGAGAGTGGTAAGCATGAAGTTCTTGGTAAGTTAGAGTTGATATTGAAGTAGTTTTATCATTAGAAGAAACAACTTATAAGAAATGGGCATCTTTCGCTATACATGTTCAGTTTGGGATCAGAATCCACTCACATATAGACTTTTATCATGGCTACACACTAAAAACACTTTATCTTATATAACATCACAAAAGCCATATGAACTATTTCCATATAACAGATGGGAATACTAAGGTTTAGTGAAAAGTAAGCAAATTTCCCAAGTTTATTCAGTAGATTTGGGATTTGAGGCCAGGCAGTTTCACTCTAGAATCTAAACTTCTCCTACCATACCATTAGTCTTCTAAATGTTTTCCAATCTATGAGGTCATAGAAAGATGTTTGATTTTTGTCCCCGGTTCCTGACATAGAGCTTCTAAATCCCTTGTAATTTCCTGAGTGACAAGGGTAATAGTGTCTTGCCTCTTATTCTAATGAAGTGACTCAGTGGGTCCCTAGATAGCTTCACGATGGAGGCTGGTTGCTAGAAAGACCAAGCCTTGACTAGAAGCCCATCCTCCAGCCTCCAGGGAGGAGAGAGGGACTTAGATCAAGTCAATATTGATCATGCCTATGTGATGAAACTTCCATAAAATCCCCTAAACACTGGGGTTCAGAGAGCTTCTGAATTGGCCAACACATCCATGGGCCAGGATGGCGATGCTCCCCAACTCCACAGGAATGGAGACTCCTGTGCTCTGGACCCTTCTGGACCTCACCCTGTGTACATCTCCCCCTGGCTGTTCATTTGTGTTGTTTAGAACAAACCAGTAATAGTGAGTAAAACGTTTTCCTGAGTTCTGTGAGTCATTCTAGCAAATTCCTGAATGTGAAGAGGAAGGTTGTGGAAATACCAGACTTTGTAGCCAAGTTGGACATGTTGGAGCTCAGGGCAGGCTGCCCCAAAATTTGCCACAATGGCATATTGATTATTTTGAATTGAAGTTGCTTGTGAAGCAGCTGATGCAAAAGGAAACTCTGGCCTCCTCTGTGCCCCTGAAAGCAGGGAATAAATCCGTCATGTGAAAGGTGCAATTCCTGCATATGGAGGTAGAAGGACACCCTTATTACCAAAGACAGGGAATTCCAGGGCTGGGCCAAGAAATCTCTATAAACAAACCTTGTTACTTCTTTACTAATTTACTACACAAGCCTAAACTTTGCTTAAATTCCTTACTAATTAAGCACTCAAACCTAAGTTTCTTTGTCCTGTCAAGTCCTCTCAAATTTATTGTTTCTTTGTCTAAAAAGTGTAAAAGCTTCCTGCTTTGGCCATTTCTTAGGTCGTATTTCTGAGAGATCTCTGTGTAATGAATTAAAATTTGTTTATTTTTCTCCTGTTGACTGGTGTCAATTTTATGATTAGTTTAGCCACAAGACCTTAAAGGGGTAAAAGGGAAAATTTCCCCCTCCCCAATAGCCAGAAATGTGGATAACATTGGGGAACCATTACTTGTGGCTGGCATCTGAAGAGAAGTCTGTCTTGTGGGAGTGAGCCTTTAACCTGTAGAGTCTGATGCTAGCTTTGAGTAATTAGAGTCAAAACTGGATGAAATTATAGGACACCTATTTGGTGTCAGAATTGGTTGATATTAGGAGGAAAACCCTTGCACAATCTCATAGGCCAAAAAATGACATTGACATTTTTTATGCTTTAATTAATATGGACAAGTATTTCTTTTTTATGTATATATTTGCCACTGAAATTTCCTTTTCTATAAACTGTTTGTTCATGACCTTTGCCAGTTTTCTTTCTGAGTTGTTTGTCTTTTTCCCACTGATCTCTAAGAGCTTCTTGCATCTTAAATTTATTAACTCTATGTCTACATTGTGTGTTGCAAATATTTTTCCCCTGGTTTGTTGACCTTTGTTCTAATTTATGGTTTCGTTTTTGCCGTACCAACAATTTCTAAAATTACATAATCAGATATATCAACCTTCTCCTTTATGGCTCTTTGCTTTTCATAATATGCTCAGAAAGGCCTTCTCTAAGGTTATAAAAATATTTATGTTTTCTTCTGCTACATTTATCACTTTATATTTTCAGTTCTCAATTTTTAATCTTTCTGGAATTTATCCTGATGTGTTTTTTTCGTATGTGTGTGGTACGCGGGCCTCTCACTGTCGTGGCCTCTCCTGCTGCGGAGCACAGGCTCCGGACGCATAGGCTCAGCAGCCATGGCTCACGGGCCCAGCCGCTTCGTGGCATGTGGGATCTTCCTGGACCGGGGCACGAAACTGCGTCCCCTGCATCAGCAGAAGGACTCTCAACCACTGGGCCACCAGGGAAGCCCTATCCTGATGTATTTTGAAGTAAGATTTAAGCTTTTATTTAGCCAAAATGGCTAGTTGAATGTTCTAACACCTTTTACTGAATAATCTAAAATTTCCCCACTGATTTTGAATTGCTACTTGTTATCACACACTGAATTCTCATATTTTCTTCATTTAATTCTGAACTCTATTCCATTCCAGTGATTTCTTTTCTTCTACCACCATCAAACTGTTTTAATTACCATTGCTTAATAATATGCTTTATTATCTGATAGAGCTACTTTCCACTTATTACACTTTCTTTTCAGAATTTTCCTATTTATTCTTTCATGTTTATTCTTTCTGAGGAATTCTGATATCATTTTTTAAAGTTCCACTTACCCTTTCATTTTCTGCATCTGCTCTAAGGTCTCTGGTAGAGTCATTCCAAAACTTTCAGGGAAGAGAAGAGTGATGATTCCAATCAGGACGGTCAGGCTGCCCATGAGGATGTAGGGCAGAACTCTGTTGTAAGCACCTGTAAGGCACAGGACATAAGAACATCAATTAGATACAGGGTTTCTCCAGATGCTCTTGAGAATCATTTTGTAAAGGTGGCAAACAGTATTTGAGAGCAGTTTTAAACCTGAATATTTACAGAAGAAAAAAAGTGTGCAAAATACCACAGTTTCTGTTTGGCAGATGTCATTGCCTCCGAATTTCCATAATCATTCACCTACTCAATTTTGCATTATCATAAGGTCTTTCATGTCAACTGGTATTCTCTAAGCTACTACTTAATCATGTGTGATAAATGTTCCTTTGATAGAAATTTTTGCCTACCAAAGCTCTCCTCTTAAGGTAGAGGTCATTGGAGATCGGGGGGGGGTGGGAGGACACCAAGGAGAAAGAGGTTGACCAGGATGTTGCAGGGACACCTACTGGCTGTTATGACTGATATGACCTTTGCTTTTGCCCAAACCAGGAGGCTCCTGTGGAAATCTTGGTCCACAGAGCTGTGAGACTCTTAAAAGAACCTAATTAATATATTCAATCCAACTTAAATCAATAAATGTCAGGCACTGTGGTTTCTTTTTGCAGCATTTATATGTCTTGGTTTTACATGTTATTGGAAGAACCACTCCACCTCTTCTTTATGTGGTGTTACTCAGACAGGGGAATAATAGATCCTCATCTTACTTCCCTTCTGCATGTAGAGATTACAGAGGAATAACACACCTAAGAATTTTATTTGACAAAAAAATATCAATCTTGAAGCTTCTCTGAGACCTCTGTGTCACCAACAGGAGCCACTACTGTGGAATACAAAGTTCTTTCTCAGACTCCTCCATTTCTTATGTACCAATGGTCCACCATTAGACCATATGAGCATGGTTTGAAAGTATAGGGAAGAACAAAGGGGAAACGACACCATTCTATATAATAATGTACTTTCTCAGGTGTTCAGGGCAGCTGTGTGGAAAATGTCTCTTTCTCTGTAAGGATTTAGAGTATACCTTTTCTGAGAATTCACATATGTCTTTGGGGATGTGTATGTGTGTGTGTTTGAACTAGTAGGTAACCAATGGATGACTAGGAAGAATAAGGAGCTGTGTCTACATCTCTCGCCAGTAGAGTTCTTGATAAGGTTTAGCTTGGAGTGCCAGATCCTAGATCCACTGAACATCCCACTAAAGCCCCTCTGTGGTGTTATTTCAGATTGATAAATTCGATCATATAAAAGCTAAAAATGCCAGCAATGCAAATAAAGTCATGAAGTCAAAGTGGAAATAACAAACTAGGAAAAATATTTATAATATATATACAAAGGGCTAATTTTTCAATTACAAAGAGCTCCCAAAATCAAACATCTAAACTTGATACGAACCATTAGAAAGATGGGAAAAGACATGAACAGTCAGATCTCTTAAAAATAAATAGACTTTCAATAAATATATGAAAAAATGCTCAACCTCATTCATAATTGAAGAAAAGGAAATGAAAGCAACAATGATATCCGTTTTTCACATAACAGACTATCAATGATTAAAAAATTGGATAATCCCCATTGTTGGTAAGGATATGGAGAAACAGGCACTCTCATATATTGATAGTTGGATTGTAAACTGGTATAGTATTTAGAGGTCAATTTGGCGATATCTATGAAATTTTTAAATTGCTCCAGCAATCTATTGATCCAAATATACAAAGGCTGTGGGGGCCATAGAGGAATGTTCACTGCAGTGTTATGTATGGTAACAAAAACTTGGAAATGGCCTAAATGTTCATCCATGAACCTGGTTAAATAAATTATGTGTATACATACATTGGAAGTCTATGTACTAACTAAAAGAGCTATATATACGGATATGGCAAAATATTCTGATACAATGTTAAGTTTAAAAAAAGTTGTGAAACAATATTTATGATATCATTTTGTGTGTTTAAAAAAAAAATATATATATATATGTTGTGCAAAATGAAATGTCTGAAGGGTTACTCACCAAACTGTTAATAGTAGTTTCTCTGAGGGCTGTGATTTGGGGTACTAAGAGAGTAGAGGTGAACTTGTACTTTTTCCAGTACTTTCTATGCTGTTTGCATTTTTCATAATGAAAACCTATTACTTTTATATTTAAAAAAAGAATAGACTGATAAGAAGCATCTCACCAAGGTAAACAAAGTAGGGAGCAATGATGCTGCCCACTCTGGAGGCCATGGATGTGACCCCCACAGCCATGTTCCTGACCAGGGTTGGGTAGAGCTCTGCAGTGAAGACGTACAGCATGGAGAAGGCAGAGGTGATCCCGAACTTTCCTAACATGGCCAGACCGATGGACAAGAAGTTGTAATCTGGAAAAGAGACCCAGTGTAAACAGAGGTGCTTTTAGAAGTGATACTTTCTTAACAGTTGCTTGTATTGTCCTTTTTGCTTGTATAGGAATGTTTTATAATATAAAGATATTCCCCGAATTATACAGTCTCTTCAAAGCCTTACTAATTGGACATGGACAAAGATGGAGCGTGAAGGGTTGCTTTGAGCTTTGCTCTTCTGTTATTCTAGATCATTTATGCATTCTGTGACCTTGTCCACCTTTATTTATTACAACAGTTTCATAGTCAGTTGTTACCATGTTAATACAGTTAAGTTTAGTCTTTGAAGAGAAGGACCAATCATTTTTATCCTGTTTATTATTATTAAGAAATATATATTTCTATGCATAGTACTATATATCAAAAATCTGTTGACAACATTTTAACAATATGAGAAAGTTAGACATAATGGGAAAAGAGAAGCATATATCTTTTCATGTGCTCTCTAACTACTTGAATATTACAGACCATAAAAATCACTGAATTTATACTGGAACTGGCATGTACTACCAACTCTAACACTTGAATATACACATCAGAGAGAAGGTTTGAAAATACCAAGAAATTGGGAATTGGGATTATGACTCAGAGAAAGAGGTTTGAGGGTTTAGGTGAATGTTTCTGTGAAGGGGATGACTGGGAGCATTACTCTTCCTTCTCAGGTGGTGATTTCTGATTCTCTAAGGTTAACTCTTCTATTTGAAGGGAGTAATTTTGAACATGGGAAATCACAGAGTTAGTTATCACTTGTATAACTGACTTAAGAATGACTTACGATGTAAAGGCTACATAAATAGGGAACAGGGACTAATAATTAGCCCAGTCAAGGTGTGGATCTTTTCTGGTAAGCTGTTAATATTGGATAACTTCTTACCTGCAGGTACCAATTGAATTAAGAGAAGCACACCTCCTCCCAAGAACAGTACTCCAGATATGACATAACGCCTGGGTAGGGTTCGAAGTAGCAGCCAGGCTGTAATGTAAGCTGGAACTTCAATCAAGGCAGAGAAGAAACAGTTCAGGTAGGCATCTCCATGTAAATTAGGAGTGTTGAGAGACAGAGCAAAGTAACCTACTGAGGTGAGCATCCTGAAAGACAAAAGACAAAAATGACAAAAGAATGGCTGGAGTCTCTTTACAATTTCATGTTGGTCAGGAAATTGTCTAGATGTTGCTGTCTTACAAATAGCCACATATGGCTATTTAAAAGTAAATAAATTAGGGATTTCCCTGGTGGCCCAGTGGTTAAGACCCTGTGCTCTCAATGCAGGGGGCCCGGGTTCGATCCCTGGTCAGGGAACTAGATCCCAAATGCCGCAACTAAGAGCCCTCATGCCGCAACTAAGAACCCACATGCCGCAACTAAAGATCCCACGTGCTGCAACTAAGACCCAGCGTGGCCAAAAAAAAGAAGAAAAAGTAAATAAATTAAAATTAAATAAAATTTAAAATTTCGTCCCTCACTTTGGCACTAGCCACACTTCAATTGTTTAGTGGCCACATGCAGCTAGTGGCTACCATAAGGGACAAAAAAGATATAAAACATTTTCATCATTGCAGAAAGTTCTATTGGACAGCACTAGTCTAGATATACCAATATTCAAGAATACCTATCCTAATCTAGTTAATTTCACGTTTCAATAGGAGAGTTTGTATATTCTCATTCCTTCAGAGCTATTATTTGAAGAAAGAATGTCAGTCACATCAGTGAACATAAAATCCATATGTCATTTTCCCCCCAAAGAATAAGAAGGAGAAGGAGAAGGAGACGAAGGCGAAGGGGAGGGGGAGGAGGAGAAGAAGAAATATAGGTAATACTGTGGGATCCACTTATAGTAAATTCCAATTGATTTAGTAAAACTCACTTTAGTACGGAAGAAAGTGAAAGTCCCATAAAAGGTATCACAGAGTGCACACTGCATATCCTGTCATTATAGTTAACGTCCACATAAAAGTTTCTCTGTGGAAAAAACACTACACTATGCAAACTCCTCTGTGCAGAAATGCACTTATTATCAACATGACTGGAAAGCAGAGGACACCTGAAAAATGTTTTCAGGAACAATGTCGGGTCTTTTCACACATACTCTACTAGGTTGGGTAGCACAAGGGCTAATCCAAAACAAAACAAAAAATGAAACTTTATTGCTCTGGGATCTTAGTGATTTTCCACATTTGGTAATACGAGCAGCTTAGATAAAACTAGTGATTAGTTTATTATTGGCTCAGTAGTCCCACTGCTCAAGGTACATTTGCATCAGTGATACCTGCTGACATGTAAGAACTAAGGAGATCTACTGTGAGGAAAGCCACATGCCCAGGACACACTTGCTTAATTCAGGGGCATAAACTCTGTCATTGATGACTTCTAATTGCAATACAAGATGGCTCTAAAATTAGACTAGCTGCAGCAGGAGCCTACTAGTTCTTTTTTTAATTTTATGTAATCTTTTTTTTTAAATAGATCTTTACTGAAGTATAACTGCTTCACAATACTGTGTTAGTTTCTGTTGTACAACAAAGTGAATCAGCTATATGCATACATATATCCCCATATCCCCTCCCTCTTGAGCCTCCCTCCCACTCTCCCTATCCCACCCTTCCAGGTCATCGCAAAGCACGGAGCTGATCTCCCTGTGCTATGCAGGTGCTTCCCACTAGCTACATATTTTACATTTGGTAGTGTATATATGTTGATGCTACTCTCACTTCTCCCCAGCTTCCCCCTCCCCACCCCATGTCCTTAAGTCCATTCTCCATGTCTATATCGTTATTCCTGCCCTGCCATTAGGTTCATCAGTACCATTTTTTTTTTTTAGATTCCATATATATGTGTTACCGTATGGTATTCATTTTTCTCTTTCTGACTTACTTCACTCTGTACGAAAGACTGTAGGTCCATCCACCTCACTACAAATAACTCAGTTTCGTTTCTTTTTATGGCTGAGTAATATTCCACTGTATATATGTGCCACATCTTCTTTATCCATTCATCTGTTGATGGTCATTTAGGTTGGTTTCATGTCCTGGCTATTGCAAATAGGGCTGCAATGAACATTGTGGTGCATGTCTCTTTTTTTTTTTTTTTTTGGCTGTCCGGGGCCCTCTCTCTGTTGTGGCCTCTCCCGCCACGGAGCACAAGCTCCGGACGCGCAGGCTCAGCGGCCATGGCTCACAGGCCCAGCTGCTCCGCGGCATATGGGATCTTCCCAGACTGGGGCACGAACCCGTATCTCCTGCATCAGCAGGTGGACTCTCAACCACTGTGCCACCAGGGAAGCCCACATATCTCTTTTTGAATTATGGTTTTCTCAGGGTATATGCCCAGTAGTGGGATTGCTGGGTCATGTGGTAGTTCTATTTTTAGATTTTTACGGAACCTCCATACTATTCTCCATAGTGGTTGTATCAATTTACATTCCCACCAACAGTGCAGGAGGGTTCCCTTTTCACCACACCCTCTCCAGCATTTATTGTTTCTAGATTTTTTGATGATGGCCATTCTGACTGGTGTGAGGTGATAACTCACTGCAGTTTTGATTTGCATTTCTCTAGTGATGTTGAGCATCTTTTCACGTGCCTCTTGGCCATCTGTATGTCTTCTTTGGTGAAATTTCTATTTAGGTCTTCTGTCCATTTTTTAATTGTGTTGTTTGTTTTTTTGATATTGAGCTCCATAAGCTGTTTGTATATATTGGAGGTTAATCCTTTGTCTGTCGTTTAATTTGCAAATATTTTCTCCCATTCTGAGGGTTGTCTTTTCAATCTTGTTTATGGTTTCCTTTGCTGTGCAAAAGCTTTTAAGTTTCATTAGGTCCCATCTGTTTATTTTTGTTTTTCATTCCATTACTCTAGGAGGTGGGTCAAAAAAGATTTTGCTGTGGTTTATGTCAAAGAGTGTTTTTCCTATGTTTTCCACTAAGGGTTTTATATTGTCTGGTCTTACATTTAGGTCTTTAATCCATTTGGAGTTTATTTTTGTGTATGGTGTTAGGTAGTGTTCTAATTTCATTCTTTTACTATAGTTGTCAGTTTTCCCAGCACCACTTATTGAAGAGGCTGTCTTTTCTCCATTTTATGTTCTTGCTGCCTTTGTTGTAAATTAGGTGACCATATGTGCATGGGTTTATCTCTGGGCTTTCTATCCTGTACCATTGATCTATATTTCTGTTTTTGTGCCAGTACCATACTGCCTTGATTACTGTAGCTTTGTAGTATAGTTTGAAGTCAGGGAGCCTGATTCCTCCAGCTCCATTTTTCTTTCTCAAGATTGCTTTGGCTATTCAGGGTCTTTTGTGTTTCCATACGAATTGTAAAATTTTTGCTCTAATTCTGTGAAGAATGCTATTGGTAGTTTGATAGGGATTGCACTGAATCTGTAGATTGCTTTGGGTAGCATAGTCATTTTCATAATATTGATTCTTCCAATCCAAGAACATGGTATATTTCTCCATCTGTTTATGTCATCTTTGATTTCTTTCATCAGAGTTTTATAGTTTTCTAAGTACAAGTCTTTCGCCTCCTTAGGCAGGTTTATTCCTAGGTATTTTATTCTTTTTGTTGTGATGGTAAATGGGATTGTTTCCTTAATTTCTCTTTCTGATTCTTCACTGTTAGTATATAGGAATGCCAGAGATTTCTGTGCATTAATTTTGTATCCGGCGACCTTACCAAATTCATTGATTAGCTCTAGTAGTTTTCTGGTGGCATCTTTAGGATTCTCTATGTATAGTATCATGTCATCTGCAAACAGTGACAGTTTTACTTCTTCTTTTCCAATTTGTATTCCTTTTATTTCTTTTTCTTCTCTGATTGCCATGGCTAGGACTTCCAAAACCATGTTGAATAAAAGTGGTGAGAGTGGACATCCTTGTCTTGTTCCTGATCTTAGTGGAAATGCTTTCAATTTTTCACCATGGAGTATGATGTTTGCTGTGGGTTTGACATATGTGGCCTTTATTATGTTGAGGTAGGTTCCCTCTATGCCCATTTTCTGGAGAGTTTTTATCATAAATGGGTGTTGAATTTTGTCAAAAGCTTTTTCTGCATCTGTTGAGATGATCATATGGTTTTTACTCCTTAATTTGTTGATATGGTGTATCACATTGATTGATTTGCATATATTGAAGAATCCTTGCCTCCCTGGGATAAATCCCACTTGATCATGGTGTATGATCCTTTTAATATGTTGTTGGATTCTGTTTGCTAGTATTTTGTTTAGGATTTTTGCACCTATGTTCATCAGTGATATTGGTCTATAATTTTCTTTTTTTGTGATATCTTTTTCTGGTTTTGGTATCAGGGTATGGTGGCTTCGTAGAATGAATTTGGGAGTGTTCCTCCCTCTGCAATTTTTTGGAAGAGTTTGAGAAGGATTGGTGTTAGCTCTTCTCTAAATGTTTAATAGAATTCACCTGTGAAGCCATCTGGCCCTGGACTTTTGTTTGTTCGAAGATTTTTAATTATAGTTTCAACTTCATTACTTGTGATAGGTCTGTGTATATTTTCTAATTCTTCCTGGTTCAGTCTTGGAAAATTGTACCTTTCCAAGAATTTGTCCATTTCTTTGTGGTTGTCCATTTTATTGGCATATAGTTGTTTGTAGTAGTCTCTTATAATCCTTTGTATTTCTGCGGTGTCAGTTGTGATTTCTCCTTTTTCATTTCTAAAATTGATTTGTGTCTTCTCCCTTTTTTTCTTGATGAGGCTGGCTAGGGGGTTATCAATTTTATGTATCTTCTCAAAGAACCAGCTTTTAGTTTTATTGATCTTTGCTATTGTTTTCTTCATTTCTATTTCATTTATTTCTGCTGTGATCTTTATGATTTCTTTCCTTCCACTGACTTTGCATTTTCTTTGTTCTTCTTTCTCTAGTTGTTTTACCTGAAGGGTTAGATTGTTTATTTGAGATTCTTCTTGTTTCTTGAGGTGAGATTGAATTGCTATAAACTTCCCTCTTAGAACTGCTTTTGCTGCATTCCATAGGTTTTGGGTCATTGTGTTTTCATTGTCCTTTGTTTCTATGTATTTTTTTAATTTCCTCTTTGATTTCTTCAGTGATCTCTTGGTCATTTAGTAGCGTACTGTTTAGCCTCCATGTATTTGTGTTTTTTACAGTTTTTTCCTGTAATTGATTTTCAATATCATAGCATTGTGGTCAGAAAAGATGCTTGATACGATTTCAGTTTTCTTAAATTTTCCAAGGCTTGATTTGTGACCCAAGATGTGATCTACCCTGGAGAATGTTCCATGTGCTCTTGAGAAGAAAGTGTATTCTGCCACTTTTGGGTTGAATGTTCTATAAGTATCAATTAAATCTATCTGGTCTATTGTGTCATTTAAAGCTTGTGTTTCCTTATTTATTTTCTGTTTGGATGATCTGTCCATTGTTGTAAATGGGGTGTTAAAATCCCCTACTATTATTGTGTTACTGTCAATTTCTCCTTTCATGGTTGTTAGCATTTGCCCTATGAATTGAGGTGCTCCTATGTTGGGTGCATAAACATTTATAATTTTTATATCTACTTCTTGGATTGATCCATTGATCATTATGTAGTGTCCTTCCTTATCTCTTGTAACAGTCTATTTTAAAGTCTATTTTATCTGATATGAGTATTGCTACTCCAGCTTTCTTTTGATTTCCATTTGCATGGAATATCTTTTTCCATCCCTTCACTTTCAGCCTTTATGTGTCCCTAGGTCTGAAGTGGGTCTCTTGTAGACAGCTTATATATGGGTCTTGTTTTTGTATCCATTCAGCCAGTCTGTGTCTTTTGGTTGGGGCACTTAATCCATTTACATTCAAGGTTATTATTGATATGCATGTTCCTATTACCATTTTCTTAATTGCTTTGAGTTTGTTTTTGTGGGTCTTTTTCTTTGCTGTGCTTCCTGCCTAGAGAAGTTTCTTTAGCATTTGTTGTAAAGCTGGTTTGGTGGTGCTGATTTCTCTTAGCTTTTGCTTGTCTGAAAAGCTTTTGATTTCTCCATCGAATCTGAATGAGATCCTTGCCAGATAGAGTAATCTTGGTTGTAGGTTTTTCTCTTTCATCACATTAAGTATATCCTGCCACTCCCTTCTGACCTGCAGTTTCTGCTGAAAAATCAGCTGATAACCTCATGGGGATTCCTTTGTATGTTATTTTTTGTTTTTCCCATGCTGCTTTTAATATATTTTCTTTGAATTTAATTTTTGTCCATTTGATTAATATGTGTCTTGGTGTGTTTCTCCTAGGGTTTATCCTGTATGGTACTCTCCGTACTTCCTGGACTCGGGTGACTATTTCCTTTCCCATGTTAGGGAAGTTTTCCACTATAATCTCTTCAAATATTTTCTCAGATCTTTTCTTTTTCTCTTCTTCTTCTGGGACCCCTATAATTAGAATGTTGGTGCGTTTAGTGTTGTCCCAGAGGTCTCTGAGATTGTCTTCAATTCTTTTCATTCTTTTTCTTTATTCTGCTTCTCGGCAGTTACTTCCACCATTTTGTCTTCCAGCTCACTTATTCGTTCTTCTGCCTCAGTTATTCTGCTATTGATTCCTTCTAGTGTACTTTTCATTTCAGTTATTGTGTTGCTCATCTCTGTTTGTTTCTTCTTTAGTTCTTCTAGATCTTTGTTAAACATTTCTTGTATTTTCTCAATCTGTGCCTCCATTCTATTTCCGAGATTCTGAATCATCTTTACTATCATTACTCTGAATTCTTTTTCAGGTAGATTGCCTATTTCCTCTTCATTTATTTGGTCTTGTAGGTTTTTACCTTGCTCCTTCGTCTGTGACATATTCTTTTGCTGTCTCATTTTTTTTCCTTTTTTTTATGAGTGGGATTGTGTTCCTGTCTTACTGGTTGTTTGGCCTGAGGCTTCCAACACTGGAGTTTGTAGGCTGTTGGGTAGAGCTGGGTCTTGGTGCTAAGATGAGGACCTCCAGGAGACCTCACTGCAATGAATATACCCTGGGGTCTGAGGTTCTCTGTTTGTCCAGTGGTTTGGACTTGGAGCTCCACCACAGGAGCTTCGGCCCGAACCCTGGGTCATGAACCAAGATCCCGCAAGCTGCATGGTGTGGCAAAAAAAAGAAAAAAGAACAATAACAAAGTAGAAAATAAAATTAGACTAGGAAACTGACAGATATGTTAGAAAAAAAATAAAAATAAAAATATAGATGAAACAACAACCAGAAGGTAAAACAGAACCATGATATTAAAAAAGAGATGGAGAAAAAAAAAAGGTGGAAAAGGCCTTGGCTGTGGAGGGTGGGGCCTAAGCAGAGGCAAGGTTTGGGCAGTGGGCAGGGCCTATGCTTAGGACCCACAGGGCTGGAAAAGGCCCTGGGGGGCACTGGGGGTGGGGCTTAGGCTCAACAGAGAAGAAGGGGCTCAGGCGTGCCCATCGCCTCTGGTCTCAGAGGGTGGGGGAACCCACCTGGGAGTCCAGCAGTCTTCCTGGGCTCGAGTGGGTAGGGCAAATACCCTCTGCTCCTCTCTTGCTCTTCCCATCCTGGAGGGCCCCTCCCACCTGCCTCTCCTATTTTCCAGCCTCCCTTCTACACCCCCAGGGCCAACCCAGCCTGGAGGGGACCTCTGAGAGCATAGGACCTGGCCCGAGAGCTGGGCAGACTTCCCCAGCCGATTCAGCAGGGGAAATGCTGGGTGTGCTCCCCCTGATCCAAGCCCCCGAGGGTCCCTCCAGGCGTGGGAACCTCTCCCCCACTCTGAGCCACCCCTCAGGGGTGCCAGTCCTGTTCGGCCTCCACTTCTCCTTCCCCCCCTCAGTCCTCCCATGTTCTACTGGTGTGCTTGGGGGTTCTTCCCATCTCCTTGGGCGTTGGGGTCCCCCACCAGCATCTGGCAGACGCCCTAGTTGGAGACGCAAACTCTGCATCTTTCCACACCACCACCTTCTACCTGTTCTGATTACCATCATTTTTTGTGCTGCCATCATGGGGTAGGCATGTTCTTTTTGTCTTCTTCCTAATTTCTTGGCAGATACATTATTAAATCTTGCCTACAAAGTCAGTTCGTTATTTCTAGGCCTTAAAATCACTCTGTAGATTCCTATGAGCAAGTATAAAAAGCTTGTCAAAACTCCAATGCAGGCAGTGGGGATTCAGGGTATTCTAACTTCACTGATTAACTGTCAGTACAGCTTCTGGAAGCAGGAGCTGAATTAGCGTCTCAGCTTCAGGCATCAGGGACATCATTAGTTTTAATCCCAGTAACTCTAGGAGGAGCAGGGAACGATTTCCCAGTGGGTCACAGTATTGCAGACCTAAATATTGTTCCCTGTGACATTTTTTTTTCAGTATCCAGTTCCATGAATTAAATTGAAGCCTTTCCAAATAACTTAGAATTCTAAAATTTTAATTTTGCCTCAGGAAGACACAGGCCTTGACCTTGTCCCCTGAATTAAAGAAAATCAGTTGTATATTTACATTCTGTATGTCGCATTTCCAGATCTCTTATTACTTACCATAGCAGCAAGGACATAATTGTTATTGTGCCAATATTCCGAGTCCTGAACAGGTCCAGAATGAAAACTTTCTGCTGCTTCACAGGGGTTAGCTCCTGTTGTTAAAGTAATGCACACAACCATGAGATTGAGCGGTGGTGAGGAAGTATCTTTGGCTATGACAGTATATTCTTATGCATGTAAGTCTCACATTACTTTGAACATGCTCAGAAGTCTGGAATTTGAAGGGAATAAGGGCATCTGAATATATGATGCTTATTATAACGTTTAAAAATGTTTGTGGCCCATTTTAGACAGAAGCCTTTAAAATATATAACATTGGCTTCACTGTCTCTTTATATAAAGCCTGACTGCTAACACAGCCTTGCCTTGACTCATGGGCATCATTAATCACACTGAGCCTTAGGGCCTGTTGAGTGGGTAGTGCCATATAGCCCCAAACTGCCTTGAGGTCCATATCTGCTTTTAATACTTGTCCTGTTGTTGTCTCAGTGTCAGAACACATATGGGTTAACTAGGGGACCTTAGGCAAGTTACTATTTATCCTCTATGAGCCTCAGTTTACCTCTCTGTAAAATGGGTATAATAATCAAGAGTTGAGAAGATTAAATGAGATCATATATTTAAATCTTAGCATAGTACTTGAACCATGGTAGATGCCCCATACATTTTAGCTATTACTATAATTACTGCACCATTGAGGAAAAGATGTGAGCTGTCAGTGGTTGGTGGCAATTTCATACCGCTGCTGATGGGCTTCCTTCCTTTACTTTTTTCGGTATGTGGGCCTCTCACTGTTGTGGCCTCTCCCATTGTGGAGCACAGGCTCCGGACGAGCAGGCTCAGCGGCCATGGCTCACGGGCCCAGCCGCTCCACGGCATGTGGGATCTTCCCAGACCGGGGCACGAACCCGTATCCCCTGCATCGGCAGGCGGACTCTCAACCACCGCGCCACCAGGGAAGCCCACCTTCCTTTACTTTTAATTTACTGAAGTTAACTTGCCATGTGTTAGGAATCTAGATAATCAAGCTTATTAGAATTGAAACTATCAATACACTATTTACAATAGCCAAGACACGGAGACAACTCAAGTGCCCATTAACAGACGACTGGCTCAAGATGATATGGTATATATGTACAATAGAATATTAGTCATAAGAAAGAATGAAATATTGTCATATGCAGCAACATGGATGGATCTAGAGAATATGACACTTAGTGAAATAAGTCAAACAGAGAAAGACAAATATTATATGATATAACTTATATGTGGAATCAAAAAAATAATACAAATGAATCTACATACAAAACAGAAACAGACTCACAGACATAGAAAACAAACTTATGATTACCAATGGCAAAAGGAAGGAGGGTGGGAGGGATAAATTAGGAGTTATGGGATTAACAGATACAAACTACTATACATGAAATAGGTAAGCAACAAGGATTTACTATATAGCATAGGGAACTATAGTCAATAACTTTTAATAACCTATAGTGGAAAATAATCTGAAAAAAATATATGTATATATAACTGAATCACTTTCCTGTACACCTGAAACTAACAAAATATTGTAAATCAACTATGCTTCAATTTAAAAAAAAGAATTGAAACTAAAAAGTTACAGGGCTTTGAGGTGGAGCCTTTTATCTCCTCAGGTTAAAGTACAATGACTCTGTGGCCCTATGATGTGTGTTCAGTAAGAGGCTGAGGAAGGAATTTTTACTACAAAGGAAGGAAGAGTGCCAGACCTGCCCTTGCAGCAGGTGCTTCCCAAATGTTAGCATCCTTCTTTCCGAAAACAGACACCTCCTCATTCAGCTCACAGCCATGTTACCTTTTTGCTTCTGCACTACGTGGAGTGTACAACTCTAGAACATGCCCCTGGCAGTATAACCCTGTTATCCTAACAAAGAAAGGCCCTGCATAAACTACTGGGAACTAGCAGTCCTCCTGGAAGGTTCTGGGAGTGGTGCCAGACACAGACAGGACCTGTGGATCAGGCATCCAGTTATATTGACCAAGGCTGGGAATGGAATTCTTGATCTGAAGAGCAAAGGATTAAGACATATTTGTCCTGGCAGCCCTCTGAGAGCTTGGGCTCATAGCCACTGTAATTAATCCTCCAGCCATCACCAGGGTATCTGTTTCTGTCAGAGGTCGCGAAGACCAGGAATGGAGGAAGCCCTCAGGGTGGAGCACTGGCATGCTCGCCACCCTCCAAAGTCCTGGGGTGGCCAGGAGCACAGATGTGAGCGTGGGGCAAGCATAAAGACTAAGAAGCATATAGCCTTCTTGAGATGTCCTGAGCAGTTCCTGACCCTCTGGCCAGGAGTGCCATTGCCCCATCCTCTCCATCCATCTAAGTGTCCTCCCTGGTTTGGACCTGCCTCTTCAGCCCTGAGTCACTCTACTCTCTTTCTCTGATGGCTCACAGTGTCCACTCCTTGGTGACTTCTTCCTTCATGTCATCACTTACCTTCCATCTAATCCTCTTAACACACTTGGTTACATTCTATGCTCCTTATGTGTCTAATTTTTCTCGTTTTCTCTAGGAGCTGGCACGAGGCATGGCCAAGGACACTGTGAATCCTCACTGACTGGCAGGAAGCGAATCTGCTTCCACTGAATATCTACTTTTCCTCGTGGCCTCCTGCCTGCAGGGGTGAATCCTCCAGCCTGTGCTCTCAGGCCTTAAGGTTCTAGACACAACACAGCAAGACTAAACACACGTACAGCTTCCCCAGCAGACTCTGGTAAGATTCAGAGTACAGGGGGGAGCCCATGGGTGGAATACCCCTCAAACACATTTTTCCCTCTTAATCTGGAGATTCAAAAATCACCAGTATGTAGCTGCAACAATGATGTGGAGCAAGACCAATAAAAAGTTGGAGATAAACTTGCAAAAGGGAAGGGAACTAATATTTAATCAACACTTGCTATATGCTAAGCAGTTTACATATATTATTGCACTTAATTGGTCCACAGCCCTTTGAGGAAGGCTCAGAACTTCATCATCATTGTGTCTCTAAGGCCTTAAACAGTGCCTGGTACAGAATAGGCACTCAAAACCTATTGAATCAAATTAAATTCCATAATCAAGAATGCATAACTGGGGCTTCCCTGGTGGTGCAGTGGTTAAGAATCGCCTGCCAATGCACGTGACATGGGTTCGAGCCCTGGTCCGGGAAGACCCCACATGCCACAGAGCAACTAAGCCCATGCACCACAACTACTGAGCCTGCGCTCTAGAGCCCACGAGCCAAAACTACTGAGCCCATGTGCCACAACTACTGAAGCCCGCGTGCCTAGAGCCCGTGCTCTGCAACAAGAGAAGCCACTGCAATGAGAAGCCCACGCACTGCAACAAAGAGTAGCCCCCACTCACTGCAACTAGAGAAAGCCCATGTGCAGCAACGAAGACCCAACGCCGCCAAAAACAAATATATAAATAAATAAATTTTAAAAAATAAAAAAATAAAGAAGACTTTGAAAAAAAAAGAATGCATAAGTGATCTCAGGAGGAAACATTTGCAAATCCTTACCTCCACAGGATCAAAAACCACCACTGGGGCAGCTACATTGTTCATTTTTGCAGCTTTTTGGATGATATCTTCAGCTTCTCTAAATCTTCTCTGGGATATCAGCCACCGGGGAGATTCAGGAATAAACCTAAAATTCATTTGAATGTTTTATAATTTTTCACAGTAGCAAGGCTGATGCTATCAACTGTAAGTTGCCCCCGAATAATTTTTATTTTGTAAAATTCTAGTTTGTCTTTTTAAAGAACATCAAGAGGGAGGCCTCATAAGATTTCCATTATTTGTAGGAATAAATAAAAGCACCTTCAAGTTTCAAAGTTATGATCAAATCAAAAGACAGATCATTAGTTGTGCTTGAAGCCAGAGCCACACTATAAGGGGTAACATTAACTGGGTATGTTTAAGCCAGGGCACCTGGAGAACACCATCCACAACTTCATAGACAGTGTGGCTCATAAAAGAAACACAGTCTAGTATCTTTTCAGTGTGTCTATCCCTAGGAGAATCCCTGGTGCCCAGCTGGTGATGCTCACAAGTTTATTGGGTAAGGGCATCTGTGTTTCTCAGGCTTTTCCTGCAGTCAGAGGAGGAGGTAAGTGCACTGACAGCTTCCTGTGGGCTGCCGCATGGCTCTCAACAGATTCTCAGCTCAGTGAGTACCCAAACCAGACCACAGCCAATGTGGTCTTATTTTTTTAATGCCTAGAAACATTAAAAAAATTTTAATTGATTAACAATGTTGTGTTAGTTAGAAACATTTTTTTATTACACAATCTATCCACATTTTTAACTGATGCTCAAACATGGTTGACTTCTATTCTTTCCTAATTTTTCTATTTTTTCTATTTCTATTTATTTTTATTATACTTTATTTAATTTTTCTATTCTTTCCTAATCTTTATTCCTCAGAATTGCTTAGCCAATCTTCTGCCAGCTCTTGTTTTCCTTATTTATTTGTCAGTATTAAGTTATCCTAGAAAATAAATTATATGTAGCAGATATAGTTCTCCTATGATTAATAGGCCCCTCCAAAGCCTCAATAGGAATTATCTCAGAGCAAAACACAACATATCGAATAGCCAACCCCCAGCTTCTGTCCCTAGCCTACTGCAAGCACATGGGTTGAAAATGAACCCAGTCTGCATTTTTTGGAATATATCCCTTGGTTGGTCCCTGTAGCAACTGTGATGATGTTAGGCCACTCAGTTTCAGTAATTAGAGCTATGCTGTCCAAGAGAACTTCCACTGGTGTTCTGTATCTGTGCTATCCAATACAGCAACCGCTAACCACACGTGGTTATTGAGCTGGTGAGACTAGTGTGACTGAAGAAACTAATTTTATATTTTATTTACTTTTAATTAATTTTAATTTAAATTGTTGCATGTGGCTACTGGCAACTGTATTAGTGAAGAATTAGAGGTCTTACCCCACAGCCACTATATACAGCATGGGCACTTCTACTTCTGAGAGGTATCTTTCCCCAACCAGGTTGTTCTTAGAAATATCCTACCTTTCTTACTACAAGCTCTGAGTGTCATCACCGGTCCCAGGTTCCTAACGTTTAGTCAGCTAGATATTGCAAAGCTTTCCCCATGTTGCACCTATAGGCTCCTTCCCCACCCACTACACACATAGTCCATTTGTACCTGTGATCACTTACTGCCAAGCCTTTTAAAGGAAATTTGGGTCATAAAAAATCCCCAAACCACCTGCAGTGGCTCCATTTTCAGCCCACTGTACTCAGGATTCCTGCGATCTCTTCTTTTGAATTGCCATGGTTTCTTGGTGCATAAAGAATTAAGTCTAGCTGATCATTTCAAGTTAGTGGAGGGCCAAATAAGGTTGTACACTATAGCCTCTCAGTAGATTTAATTCAAATTGAACAGCGGAAGGGTGTTGCTGGAGAGTCTATAATACATATTAAGTAGGCAGCAGAGGTCACAGTAGCTCAAAGCAATCCCCACATCATCCCAGCCCACCCGAATGGATGGGCATTGCTTCAGGAAGTCCCACCTTCAAGGACAAGATGTTCAAAAGAAAGCTATTTTATTTTTATAGGAAAATGGTAAAACTGTTGTTAAACTTTCAGGACAAGCACTCAGCATGTTTGTCCTGGCCCCGGGTTGCCCTCTCTCTGGGGCAGTCCTGTCCCTGGTACAATGTGCCCACAGCTAGGAACACTTACCAACCAGCCCATGGGCAATAGAGGAACAACTCTTCTCAGGGAAGGGGCAGTCCTGTCCCTGGTACAATGTGCCCACAGCTAGGAACACTTACCAACCAGCCCATGGGCAATAGAGGAACAACTCTTCTCACGGAAAGAGTAAGGCAGTTCCTTGTGGGATGGACTTTCCGTGCTAGAAACTCAAGAGACTGACCTATCAGAGCTGTTCCTTGCTGTGATATTTGGTTCTGAGGCAAAGATACAAGCCCCACAAACTAAAATCCCCACTAATCCCTTACGGTCAGTCAGGGCCCTTGTATTTTTGCTCTTTCTCTCTCTCTCTCTGGTAGAATCATACAGTAATAAAGTTGACTATAACATATTTTAAAAGTACTGGTCTCTTATGCCAAAGTGACAACTAGAGCCGAAGAACACAGATTACTAAAATCATTCATGGTACAGGCAGAAACTAACCTTTGAATAATCTTGTCTTGTGTCTTGAGAGACTCAAGACAAGACATCTTTTAAAATAAATTCAGTGAGCAGGGGGGTTGTGGAGAGAGGGACAGAGGGTATGATGATGATAATGATGATGCTGCTGCAGCTGCTGCTGATTCTCATTCCAGAAAATTGCCCTGCTCTCAGACTGGGTCAGGAAATCAGAATAGTATCTAACCTCTAACACACTGTCTCTCAAATTCTAGGGAAGTAAGAAAAAAAAGTGTTCTCTCTCCCCCATACACACCCATGCCAAGAATCTGCACTGGTAAATCATAGCGGTCTTAGAGGTCATAAAAGGACAGTAGTTTGGAGTGGTCTAACAAGAGCCATCTGGTCCAACAATGTACTACCTGTCAGCCTCTACAGCTGCCTAACAGTTGCAGCAAGATGAAGGCCCTTCTAGGAAACTTCCTCAGGCAGTGTGTCCACAGGACAGGGCAACCACGAGGGCTAGTCTAACCTCTGAGCTCTAAAAAATGATCAGAGAAACTTTCATTCTGTGTGAGCCAGTAGAGATAAAGCAGTTCAGTAAAACCAGTCATTGCTGGGAGATTTGATTTTGACATCATGAAACCAAACCAGGACTAATTAATGAGAGAGAGAGACAGAGAGAGAGAGAGAGACAGAGAGAGGTTGAGAGAGACAGAGAGAGAGAGAGAGAGCACCAGACCCAATAATGGGAAAAATCCCCTTTCCTTTTGCTTAAATATGGAAAAAAATCAAAGAAATGGGGAATCCCTCCCCAAAAAGGGTATGGCTGCGACCTTATTCCATCATTCTTAATTTGTTCTCTCACCTAAAATCTTCCCCATAGCCATACTGGGTGAAACTGGGGCCAGTGTCTCAACACTTTGTTATTCCCACACTGACGTGCCAAAATTTGGTTGAAGGGTAGTGGGAGGAGAGAAGAGAACATTTTCTCTAACAACTCATTAAACGGAAGGAGTTCTCTCGCCCTTCAAGACAAAGCAGATAAACAGTGACATCTCAGATGCTAATCATCACGCGACAGGGAAGTTTGAGGAAGTTACATTAGTTGTAGCCATGAGGAGAACAAGATTTCCTAGCGAGAGGAAAGTGTCAGAAGAGCAGGGGGGGCAGAGTTAAAAATAACAAAAGCCAACAGACCATCTCCACAAACAACCACCACCAGTAACAGATAAGCAGGGGGACAGCCTCAGGGGGACTGGGTTTCCTGAGAATGGTGCTTTGTGGGATGGTGGGGAATCAAACCCCAGCACATAGGCCCACCCCAAAGAGCCAAACGGTCTCTGGGCTTCGAGGCCCCAGCCCGTTCCAGTGAGATCAGCAAGCCCACGCCACGGTCAGCTCCAGGCTCTGGGCTCCAGGCTGCTGGCCCGCAGCAGGGGGCTGTCTGGGACGGAGCCACACTCACCACCACAGCGGGAAGCACAGCACCCCCGGCACCGTCAGCGCCAGCAGAAGCATCCGCCAGTCTCTGATGAAGTAAGCAAACAGCGGCAGCAGCATGTAGCCAACTGCAAAAAATGTGCACACGCCTAACGTAGAGAATATAATACGAACTGACTTGCCAAGAATTTCTGTTCCTGTTCAAAACAAGGGAGGAGTATTAGCATTTTAACTCACTTTAATATTTGCTTTTTACATCATTACCTGGCAGTTAGAGTTTAAAACATAACCACTTAGAAAAGGGAAAAGGTGTTTGCCTCATGGCCCAGAGCAGGAGCGGTCAGGGTGGAGGAAGGTGGGACGTGACCCAAGACTTACCACCTCATAGAAGGATGAGTTTTCATGAGATTTTAAAGGAGCCACAGATTTTTTTTTTTAAAGGCTTCCTCATGTCATAGGAACATCACGCCCAGCCCTAAGAGGTAACCTCTTCTGAGGATGCCACATTTCCAAAGTAAGATCCCCGGGGTAAGGAGCAGAAAGGGTGTCCCAGGAGACCGGGTCGGGGGGGTGGGGGGGCTCTTCTGAGGGCGAGTGGATTATGGGGCATTCAGCCTTTCCCACAGTTCTCCAATGTAAATAAGCAGACACGGGTCTCTCGGAAACAGTGGAGAGTTCAGTTACTGAGTTGTGTTAGGACACCCTTAGCCGCCCTTGAGACCTGAGAAATGATAAAGAGGATCCAGTTGGCTCTGGAGGTGCACAGAGCAGGGCCCCAGCACCCAGGACTGAATTCTGCTGCAGCTACACTGTGCCCAGGGCTCAGCCCCAGGCAGTCACAGTCCATACAGCCCAATGAAAGACAAGAAGAAGCTGCTCTTCCCGCCTGGCAGGCGGCAGCCCTGGAGCTGTCCACGCACAGAAGGAGCTCACAGAGCTTTCCCAGAACACCACAAAGGTCCAAGACTACTTGGCGTCCGGCCCTGTTCTGGGAAAGGCTCCTGCTCTGCTCAGCACCACACTGGATCGCTCAGCCCCACTTCTTGCAGAGATGTTGCCTGCTCCTTGGAGTGCTTGATTTGAGACAGGGAGTCCAAGAACAAGCTCCTTCTGTTGTCACAAAACTCCAGGCCCTTTACCCAGAGTTCACTCTTGGTCTCCTGCCCCAGGGCGGAGATCTGGCCAATGGCAACAGTTCCGTCTTTTGTTTGAGATCTGCCCACCACTACCGAGAAGTAGCCCAGAAATTACAAAATAGATCATTCGAAGGTCATTCAGGCTTGGCTTTCAAGAGAGAGTTTTTCAATCGTGTTTAGATGCCCTGAACCCAGGCTAAGGAATTAAGGGCTAATTCCAGAGAAGCAGTAAAATGACTACTTCTGTTGGTTTTCCTTTCTCACCTCCTGCCTGTTCCTGTCCTCACCTCTCTTCTTCTTCACTCAGCATAACTGAAGATGTACCTCAGTGGTTCCCCCTTGAACAGCCATTTCTAAAAGCCAGACTGATAGAAATGGCCAGGATTGTGTACCCCTCGCAACCTGGACGGCAGACAACAGCCCTAACCACCCAGGGCATTTCTCAGCCTCTAAGCTCATTTCTAGGAATAGGGCCAGACTTCTTTCAGGATCGTGAGTGTTGTTTCCAGATCTTTTCTTACCTCATTAATGACCTTCCTACCACTCCATAAGAAGACTCACCATGCCATGGTTTCTAAACACTTCGGCTGTGATCATTATGACATGAGAATGAATAGGGGGTGATTTATTCCTAAGCAGAGATCCAGAGGTGAAGCAGCAGAGGATGTGACTGTGGAAAAGAGAAAGTGCCCAGGACCAAGTGAGAATCTTGTAGACTCATGAGACCAAGGGAGCTCCCTCACACTTCCATGACCCTGATGAGAGAAGAGAGAGAAGTTACACCACTGGATTCTTGGATAATCTCCCCCTCTAAGCTTGGATCTCAGGCCAGAACAGAGTTGTTCTAACTTTGCAGAGTACCCATGGGGGACAGAAGCTTCATAAATCTACCCCTCTGCCTTTCTGTGGAGCAACACAGATGGCACAAACCTGAATAGTTCCTTGTTAGCACGACTTCCTGCTCACTGACCTTTTAGACAATCACCCTGCCTTGAACACCATCATCATCATCTTCATCATCATCTTCATAGCTAGCAGTGTTTTGAGTAGGCACTTCGAGCCAGGTTCCAGACTGAGTGTTTACATGTATTATCTCTTTGAATTTTCACAACAATTATATAAGAACTAATATTACTTCTATTTTACACATTATCAGCTGAGACTTAAAGAGTTGAAGCAAATTGCCTAAATTCACACATATGTACTAAGTGGGATAGCCAGGTTTTAAGCCTGATCAGTTTGACCTGTGGATACTGTCCAGGAAAAAAAAATTACCTGGGAGCAAAGCCTTGACCCTGTCAAGCAGTCCTTCCACTGAGGTCCTAGTGGAGACATGTGGGAGATGGGTGAGGCCACACCTGCCTTTTAGAAGTTAGGATTTGTGTTTTCCCCACCTGGGCTGGTTTTTGAACTTACTAGAGGCCAACCAGCCCCCTCTGAGGGACACTGGGAGAGGAGTCCTGTTTCCTGCAGACGTTTCACGGCCTGCAGGTGCCAGAAACTCCATGTGTTCAGCTGGCAGTGAGATAGGTGACTGGTGACTTCTGGCTCCGCTCACTGGGGTTCCTTGTCCTGGCCTCCTTTACCCCCTAGGTTTTTACTCCTAGGACAAAGCCCACTTGGTCTTGGTCTGGTTGGGCCTCTGAGTATCACTTGGGAGTGAGACTCTGACATCTAAGCCAAAGAGGCATGTCTTGGCCAGGAGTGTTTGCCCACTGCCTATCACCACCACCAGAACCTGAGCACTTTCTCCAAGAGGGAGTGACTCAGAGAGTGCCGGGCTTACTACCATGTTGATCAGGGCCCTTCTGTGGCAGTCAGCCCAGGGACCACTGGATCCATTTCACTTGGAGGCATGAATGAATGACCAACAGAGGTCTGCAGACCCCAGCTCAAGAAACAAGACTGTGGTGCAGTTGCCAGGATATGGGGTAGGACTCAAGGGCCCTAGGATAGGAGTGGCCTCCATTAGTCATGTGCAGAGCCTGGGCTCCTTGATGCTCATTTGCTACTAGAGTGACTTTGATAAGTCCTACTTCATGGAGCTATTGTTATGAGGCCTGAGATAATGTAGATAAAGGGCCTATAGTCAAGTGTCTGGCATGTGGTAGGTACTCAGGAATAATTAATTCTTTCATCCTGCTCAAACAGTTGACATGTGCCAGATGTCAGGGGAATGTTGGAAAGTACAGTGCCTTTGACCAAGAGACCCGGTGGAAGACAGCAGAAGCTCTCTTTGCTCCCCGGAAAATACTCCGAATTCTCATCAAAACAGCAGATATTCCCTTGCTTCCTCTCGCTCCTCTACAAATTTTCACAGATCATTCTAGTTAAAAGTAACCTTTCCTATTTCTGCATATACCCAGAAAATTTATAGGAGCTCCTCCCAACACTCCTAGGCCATGACCCACGTTCTCTATAACAACTGCAATGGCTGCCTCTGCCGACCAGATGTGAGCCCCTTGAGGACAGACAGGAGTGAGTCCTTCCTCCTCCCTGGGTCCACCCGGTTCTTCCCTCACACAGTTCAGTGCAAACAAGGGCTGCCAGCAAATTTCAGCATCTTTTTAATGTATTTATATCCCACCACATCCCTTGAAGGTTTTGAGGTAGCTTATAATTTGAATAAAATAAAATAATGGTAACGTTAAAGTAAAATACAAAGAAAGGTGAAAAGCTATGCCTTGGAGAAAAGAACAAAAATATGTAATGGATCACTTTGGAAAACGGTCTGGCAGTTCCTTAAATGGTAAAACATAAAATTCCCACCTGACCCAGCAAGTCCACTCCTAGGTACATACCCAAGAGAACTGAAAACAGATCCACAAAAAACTTGTACTCAAATGTTGATAGCAACATTCTCCAAATTGGTCAGAGAGTGGAAACAACCCAGTTGTCCATCAGCTGATGAAGAGATGAACAAAATGTGGCATCTCCATACAATGGAATACTGAGTCATGCTACAACATGGACCAACCTTGAAAACATTAAGTGAAGGAAGTCAGTCACAAAGGCCACATATTGTATGATTCCGCTTATCAGAAACATCCAGAATAGACAAATCCACACAGACAGGAAGTAGATTAGTGGTTGCCAGGGGCTGGGGAGAGAGGAGTGTGGGGGAGTGACTGCTAATGGCAGGTGACGACAATGTTCTGGAGTTAGGTAGAGTTGATGATCATACAACTTTGTGAATACACTGATAACCACTGAATTATACACCTTTAAAGAGTTAACATTATGGTATGCAAACGATATCTCCATTAAAAAACTGTGTGGCTGATAAAGGCTGCATAGTTGATACAGCCTGAGCTTCTGGGTAGCCAAAGTTATAAAGGAAGATGCCATCAGTTATGTACTTATCAAAAGGAAGAATACATTTAGACCTCAAAGGAAGCAGAACTTTAAATAGTTCAGCATGCTGGAACAAATATTGCAGAGGAGGTTGATGTTAGGAGTACTGGGAAAATACTGAATTAATGGATCAGTCAAGACAGGAGACAAAATAAATTCAAGCAGCTGGTTATGAGAGATAAAGGAGGATGCTGCTGGCATTTCACCCAGAGGCTGTGGACAGGTCAAAGGCGTTATTTCTGGGAAACAGTAGGAGATTGTGAGGGGGAGCTAGACTGTGGGTAGGGCCAGTGTCCTTCGTCCTGAGTGGTCACTTCCTCCTGAACAAGCATCATTCTGGCAGCTCCCTCACTTCCAGGTGTATCCACGTTCTGTTCCTTTAAGTAGCACCGTTCCTTCCTTTCTTTTTCTTGTCTCCTGTGACTCTGGCAGGCTTTATAATTGTTAAAAAGCAGAGCAAGGAGAGGATCCATTTTTGCATTGCTTTGAGAGTGGGAGTAATTCAGCTTCCTGAATTAATGTGAAGAATCCTAAAATGGGAGATTATCATCACAGACTCTTGCCAACGCTTCCCTAGAGCCAGAGGGCAAAAGGGAAGGCCCAGACAGAACGCAGACCAGATCCAAAGCTTAGGTTTCTTTCAGTTAAATAAAACCCAGAATTTGACTATGCTAGTCCTGGAACACCAGAGAGCGCTGCTGCACTGCCAGAAGTCAGCCTCCGTCGCGTCTGCCCCACCCCACCCTACCCCAGGCGCTGACGAGCGAGTCTGGCTGCTCCAGGGGGCAGGTTGGTTCTCAGCGACACTCTGAAACGTTTAGGCCTGAGAACCCAGTATAAGGAGGCTCATACCAGTGCACAAAAGTCAGCAGTTTCCTGCAGAGCACAATAGAGTAACACTATAGCCAGGGAGGCTCCCAGAGCACCCTACCACAGCCCTGGGCCAGGCTGATGGGGAGCCTGCTATACCCAGCGTCCCACCCACTGATTTCTGGCTTGTACATCTAGGTTCTGACTGATCTTACAGATCTTACTTTCCCCTTGGCCTTCTCACTCGTCTCATCATGGGGAGCAGGGAGGGAAGTTGGTTGTAGTGTCAAGGTCAGCTGGGCAGGGACTTTCTTGGAGGAGGCCTTGGGTGGGCTCTCCTGGCCGCATCCACTCACACAGGGGAGGCTCCATGGCTCCAGAAGCACCCTTTGCCCCTGGAAAGGCAGGTCTCAATGCTGCCATTCTGCAGGACCTGGGGGATGCCGTGCATGGCACAGACGCCACCTGGCTCCTGATCCCAATGACAGGGCTTCTCTGGCTTCACTATGACCTTGTGCCCTTCCATTTCAGGTGACTCTTTAGGTCCTCCTAAAGGGCTCTGCTGGCATCAGGCAGATTCCTCTGTTTAGTCTCTGGTATGTTCTGGCCCAAGCAAAGCTACCCATTGAGCTTTCCAGGTATAGGGCGGTCATCAAAAGGAACATGGAATCTGCAGGGTTTAAACCATGAGAACAACAGGCTCTGCTGTGTCCAAGAGCCCTGTGTCCTTGGGGCCATCAGGCATCAGGAGGTATTAACTTCTGTACTGAATTCGTCCAATCTCAAGTTTCCAGTACCACTGGCTGGAAGCTTTCTGGGTCCTCTCCTCAAATGACCCTCTTTAAGTAAATCTTGCTCCCCTCCTTCCCTCTGCAGGGAGGAGAGAGGCCCCATCCTGCTGGGGCCTGCCTAAGAGGGTGCTTCTGCCGGGGCCATGTGGCTTCAGCATACCCTCCCCTCTTCCCTCTTCAGACACTGAGGCTGGGCCTGTGGAGAGGAGCTCTTCACAAATGATTAAAGGAGTGGAATTTGAACAGTTCCATCTTGGCAACGTGACAGGGTGTACACACCCTCAACTAAGAGAACACAGGATCTCAAAAGCCAATGACGGGCCTCCCACAGTTCCATCTTGGCAACGTGACAGGGTGTACACACCCTCAACTAAGAGAACACAGGATCTCAAAAGCCAATGAGTCGGGCCTCCCTGGTGGCGCAGTGGTTGAGAGTCCGCCTGCCGATGCAGGGGATACGGGTTCGTGCCCCGGTCCAGGAGGATCCCACATGCCGCGGAGCGGCTGGGCCCGTGAGCCATGGGCGCTGAGCTTGCGCATCCGGCAACGGGAGAGGCCACGACAGTGAGAGGCCCACATATCGCAAAAACAAAAAAAAAAAAAAAAAAAAAAAAAAAAGCCAATGAGTCATCCAGAATCTCAAAAGTGACCAGAATCATCTTACTAGATTCAGACTTTTGAGACAAGAAGAATCATTAGACTTACATTAAAGGGGCACTATTGGTAATTACACTGTGACAATAGGGACAAACTGGGACAGCCAACAAGGACATATGGTCACACTGGAGATTATGGGACTTGGTGTCTATTATCCCAGATGTGCCCCCATCTCCCTTTCTCTCACCTGCTCAGAGGGAGCAGGTGGGCTCAGAGAGCCTGCTGGGGACTCACTCCTGCGGATGACCCTTATCAACCTGCCCGGAGCTCACCCTGCTGCCTCCCAGGAAAAGCTGGTAAAGGCCCTGGGGTCCTCCTCATGACCTTTAGCTTGTGAGTCCCCCTCATGCAGCCTGATATTCCAGAAGCAAGGGTGCTGCTAGGAGATAGGACTGCTCTCAGCAGTAAGGCTTGTCCTACATGCAGCTGATATGCTCTGGGGGTGGGCTCTGACTTAGGGGTGAGGCCAGATCTGCCCAATGATGGCTGGCTGGCACTGGACTCCTGTCTGCACGTGCCTCCTCCACCTGTGTACTGGGCACACCAACTACCTCCATGGGCCATGCCCAGCTGCCAGGAACACCCTTTAGCCCCAGCCCAGGCAAAAACCTCAAGCTTTCATAGCTCAGATCAAAGACACCCCTAGGCTGTCTCTCCCTCAAGATCCCCTCCTCTGTCCCTCTCCCGAGCCCTGTGCTCCTGAAATGTGTCTCAGTTATTACCTGGCTGGTTCTTACCAGCTGCAGCTCTTCTACATTGTCACATTTCAGGGCCCAGCACGGAGCTGGCTCCCTGTGCGTGCCTGCTTTGCCTGCGACCCATCAAAGCACCTGTGGCTAGAGCCTCCACCACCAGCACATATATCCCCGAGGCTGATCACATTTTGGAAGCACAGCCCATGAGATGAGGTGCTTCCTTCTGTGCTAAGAGCACTCTCGGTGCCCTCTCCAGTGGCCCCCTCTTCCTAGGCCTCTCAGAGGGTTGTAAGGAGCCCCGTAGGTCAGAAGCCATTCCTACCTAGTATGAAGGCCACCACATAGTTGGAGATCTGGCCCATGCCGACGATGACAAATAACATGGTGAACATCTCCCAGCTGATGGAAAAAATCTGCAGGAAGCTGAAGCCAGTCTGCACAGCCATGGTTGCGAAGAGGATGGTCTTTCTGCCAAACCTGTAGAGTACAGCACAGGGAAAGACATATCCCGTGAAGTTCACAGCAGCACTGTCATCAGGGCATGTGGAAACCCTGAGGCAGGCATTGCTGCAGACTTTGTTTTTCTCAGGGCTGTGACAGGCTTCCTTCCTGTCACACCCTCCCAGGTTCTTCCTTGGTGAGGCCTCAGGCATCCATCTGCCCAGGAGGTAACTTTTGAGATTCTGAGCCTCCTGTATCTCGAAAGCACAGAGCAGCTTATGCAAGGACCATGTGGAAATCTACTCTTTAGAATGAGTCATAGGCAGAAGCTGCCATCTTATTTCTGGAATGTGAGTACAGTATAGATTGCAGATACATCTAATATCAACAACATGAGAATTCTGTCAATCCAGAACCAAGAGTCCTTCTATGTCAGTGGTTTCCAACCTTGGCTGCGCCCAGAATCAAGAGAGCTTTAAAAAATACGGGTGCCAGCACCTGCCTTCCAACATGCTTATCGTCCGGATGTAGACAATTGGATGCAGTTTGGGTATTGGGACTTAAAAATATTCTCTACTGTGCATCCCAAATTGGGAACCACTGCTCTATGGAAAGTGTAGCTTCCAGCAACGTCCATTAATGACACTATAGTTGGCTTAAGTCTTCTTTTTCTTTATAAGTCTTAATTTGACTTTCTGATAGTGTCCAATGGCTAGAAGGGAACACAGGTATGAGCAGAACAGTCTCCTACCCCATCTTCCAAACTCAGTTCTCAGTCTGTTGGGTCTGGGGTCCCACTGGGCTTCATGACTGGGGGAGGGACAGCCACTCCTCTGGGAAGCCTTCCCCAACACTGCCATTGAGCATTCCCACCTCCCTGCTCTGATACCCAAGAACATTCAAGGGCCAGTGAGGGCACATCTCCCAGAGCTGCGATGCTGTCTCCTCCTGACTGTGTGCCCCAGGAGGCCCAGAACCAGCCTGGGTCAGCTCTGTGGCCCCAGTGTCCCGCCAGGGGCCTGACCCACAGCAGAGGTGGGTGCACTGTTAGGGAAGGGTACTCCCCAGAGTCTGGCCCTGACTCTGGCTGATGGCTGGTTGTGGATAGATCACAAGGCATCCAAGAGCTAGGGGTGGGGTGGGGAGGCAGTGGGGAGGCAGCAATGTATATTTTCCAGGGGTTTGGTGATATAAGGGCTCCACTTTTCAATGGGTCCCTGCAAGGGGCTGAGGGCAGAGGACAGAGGAGACATCATGGTTCCTCCTATCACTCACCTGGTGGCCTAAGGGGCCTCCCTTTCTCTGGGTGAAAATACCCTAAATTCAGTCCAACTCCAAGACAGGCAATGAATTGACAATCACCCTTCCTCCCGCCCAGTACCCTTACCTGTCTGACAGCTGCCCAGACACAAAGGAGCCGAGGAGCACGCCTACGAAGAACAGGGAGGTAGTAAGGGGCGTCTTCCAATCATCCTCACACACCAGACTCCACTGCCAGGGAAAATATGAAGTGTGAGCCCAATCCTCCAGCCCAGCTCCAAGGCATGGCAGCCAGGCAGGCTATCCTCCCCTGTGCCAGGCTGTCACTTTTATGCAAAGGGCATAGGCCTCGCAGCCCTGGGGTTGACTCCTGATGCTACCATTTACTGGGGCAAGTCACTGTCCTGCCTGAGGCTCACCCTCCTCTTCCGAAAGGGAGGGTGATACCTCTGGCCCTGCTTACGTCGTGTACTGAGAAGTCAGCTGAGGCGTGGCTTTGACTGGCGACCCCTCAGCTGTGAAGCAGTATGAAGCAAAGATGCCATTTCTGCTTCAGAAGGCATCCCAGCATGGAGGGAAGGTGTTTGAAATGCCTGCAGGGCAGGGCAGAGGGCATGGTCACATGATCCAGTTGTAAAAGATTCCTCTACTTTGTTGAAAAGTGCACGTGGTTCCCAGGGGCCTGTGATTATATTTTCTGAACAGAATCCTCCAGAGAACCCTGTGCTCCCTGGCCCACTTATACCGTAGGCCACACTTAGGGCCTGATCTGGGGCTTCACTGTGCTAGGGGTGGGGCTCCCACCCCTCTCCAGTGCTCCTTATCTCCCCTCTGCACTCCTCCACCCTCCTTCCCATGCAGCCCTCACAGAAGTGCGGTCCCTCCCATTCCCCAGGGCCAGTGGGCTCTGGTAGCCCTAGCAAGTCCCTGCTTGTGAACCCACAGAATGAGAGTCTGAGGCAGAGTTTCAGTTTCCAGCTCTTAAGTCAATTCAGCAAAATCTCAAGGGGAGGCTGCAGAAAATTCAGTGTGTTCAGTGAGCTTTCATTAATTAAAAAACAAGCAGGTGGTGCCAATAAATATTTCGGGGCTGTGGTCACGGTGTTGCCGTGTGTGGCAAGATGATCCAGACTATAGGAAAAATCCCCTGCCTCCCACCCAATCCCAGCCCCACCCAGCAGTGGTGCTGCTCCCATGACATTCCCAAAGCAATTTAGATCTTAATCCTCACAACTTCCCTGAAATAGATTTTTAAATGAGTTCACATATTTATATCATGTCCCATCTGCAGCAGAGAGAGGCGTTTATAAGGATACATACAAGAGAAATGTGTACAACAAAAAGCTAAGGGAATCCGGGCAAATTAAAATCTCAGGGGAGGAGGGGTTACAAAATAACCAAGCCAGGGGTAAGACTGACCTCTGGCTGTCCTGCCCAAAGGCCTGTCTGCTTGCCAGGGAAGCCCTGAAATCTGGCTTTGAATATCCCAGCAGCTCAGCTCTCAGGATCACGGTGTGCAAAGTGATAAACTCATTCTGCAAAAGCTCAGTTTTTCTGAGTACTGAGACCTGAGAGAAGCCTCTCCTATATACTTCCTTCCACAAAGGGGCCACTCTGTGATGTTGAGGATAATGTCTTTGAGAACACCCCCATCCTGGAGACAATAACAAGATTCATAAATCTGCCTCTGCTTGTTCTCACAATGCTGGTTACAGGTGGGACGCCCAAGCATAGCTCTGCAGAAGAAAAACAATGTGGACCAGAAACTCTGCTCTCTACCCCTCAGGCACAACTGAGGATAAGTCTGAAACCACACCCAAAGTAGTGTTGCTTCAACTGGGGTACCTGAATAGGCTTCAGGGGAAAGGGCACAAACCCTCCAAAACTGTATGGCCAGATTCATGTGCCCTGCCAGGCCACGGGTCAGAAGGGGTAGACAAGACATGTACCTGAATTAATGACCACCCACTTCTAAAACATCACTCACCAAAGTGTCAGAAGAGATCTTGGGATCTGCCCCAACACACAAAGAGGTTAGTGATTGAGGCCCCAAAGCCTCATAATGTGGAGTATAACCCATTTTGCAGAAGAGTAAACTTAGGCTCTGAGACTGGTGTTCGCCTGAAGTCATAGCAAGTAAATACCAACTTGGGCCTCAGAACTTAACCTTGTACCCATGTCCCGCTTTGGACAAGAACTCCAAAGGCCAGACAAAACAAGTTTATTGCGCCCTACACTTCTCCAAGGAATGTGACACCAGGACTAGTGGCAGAAAATCTCCCCCACACCACAGCCTTTAGCCTTGGACAGAGCCAAGAAAATCCCAAGTTTGGTAGGGGTGTTAACGTATCCATTATCAACCAACACCATTCCATCTGCAGTCAAGCAGAAAAGCTCTTCAAAAGATAATGTGCTCTCCTTTGTGTTTTTAAAAATATTTTTCTGTCAGGACATTGCCTTTGGGCAGGATAGATAGCACTTAGAGAAAGAAAGGAAAGAGAAAGGCTGTTAGATGTGGAGCCAGGCATTGCATGAGCAAAGGTAGTAAACAGGACTGGCTACCTAATATGCAGGCCCAGTGCAAACTGAAAATGCAGGACCCCTTGTTCAAAAATGATTAAGAATTTCAAGATGTCGGGACTTCCCTGGTGGCGCAGTGGTTAAGAATCCATCTCCCAGTGCAGGGGACATGGGTTCGAGCCCTGGTCCGGGAAGATCCCACATGCCACGGAGCAACTAAGTCCGTGTGCCACAGCTACTGAGCCTGCGCTCTAGAGCCCACGTGCTGCAACTACTGAAGCCCACATGCCTAGAGCCCGTGCTCCGCAACGAGAGAAGCCACCGCAATGAGAAGCCCGCGCACCGCAACAAAGAGTAGCCCCCGCTCGCTGCAACCAGAGAAAGCCCATGCACAGCAACGAAGACCCAACACAGCCAAAAAGAAATAAATAAATTTATAAAAAAAAAAATTTCAAGACGTCAATAGCAGAGCATTAAAACCAAGTGTGGGTGGGGCTTCCCTGGTGGCGCAGTGCTTGGGAGTCCGCCTGCCGATGCAGGAGACGCGGGTTCGTGCCCCGTTTCGGGAAGATCCCACATGCCGCGGAGCGGCTGGGCCCGTGAGCCATGGCCGCTGGGCCTGCGCGTCCGGAGCCTGTGCTCCGCAAATGGGAGAGGCCACAACAGTGAGAGGCCCGCATAACGCAAGAAAAAAAAAAAAAAAAAAAAAAAAAAAAACCAAGTGTGGGGTCCTGTGTGACTGCATGGGTTGATGCCCATGAAGCTGGCCCTGATAGTCGGTCAAGCCTAGTCTTTTGGGGAATGGAGCAAGGAAAGGAGTTCTGAATTGGGTGCTGAGAAAGGTGAGGTGAGGGCCAGCTCCCCATTGCTCTCCTACTGGAGGCCATGAGGCCATGGTTCTAGGTCCCCCTTCCTTCCCTGAAGCGGGGCCCAAGAAGCCCTGTCAACACCATGCAGGGAGATCCTGTTCACACCTGGCAGGGGAAGGCAGCTGGACCTCATGGCTACTTATGGTTGGTTCCAAGGCTGGGTTCCCTCTTGGGGAATTACTGTACCCAGAGAGTCTTTTTGAAAGCTGCAAGAGACCTGGTAATAGGACAAGATTGGCAGATAAAGTTTTCACTGCGGCTTATGGAACTGGGGTCCAATAAATCAGCTGCCAGTCTGTTTTCTCCACGGGGCTATTTTTTTTTTTTTTTTTTTTTTTTCGGTACGCGGGCCTCTCACTGCTGTGGCCTCTCCCATTGCGGAGCACAGGCCCCGGATGCGCAGGCTCAGCGGCCATGGCTCATGGACCCAGCTGCTCCACAGCATGTGGGATCCTCCCGGACTGGGGCACAAACCCGCGTCCCCAGCATTGGCAGGAGGACTCTCAACCACTGCGCCACCAGGGAAGCCCTCCACGGGGCTATTTTTTTTTTTTTTTCGGTACGCGGGCCTCTCACTGCTGTGGCCTCTCCCATTGCGGAGCACAGGCCCCGGATGCGCAGGCTCAGCGGCCATGGCTCACCGGCCCAGCCGCTCCACGGCATGTGGGATCCTCCCGGACTGGGGCACAAACCCGCGTCCCCAGCATTGGCAGGCGGACTCTCAACCACTGCGCCACCAGGGAAGCCCTCCACGGGGCTATTCTTAAGGAGGCCAGGCCCTGCCTGCCCCAGTCCCTTGGGGTTTCTAGGGGTGTGTCTTGGGGCCTCAATAGCCAGGTCCCAGGGAACTCCCTGTGGTTAACAATGACATGGCAGGACCAGTGGGAGACAGTCTTTTCCTTGATGAGACAGAACTGTCCCGTGGGTCTCTGCACATGTGTATACACACACATACACACAAACATAAATACATACACACAGTCAGCTCAGAGGCTAATGGCTGATGGCCTGGTGAGGAGCTGCCTGGCATCGCTCTGGAGCTGTGCTTTAAGGTCAAATACCACCATTACTGAAACATAACCCACATTCCCACACACACCACAGACAAAGAGTAGAATGTCCCAAACTGTGCCGGGTTGAGGCACTGGATGTGCTCTCACAGGATTACTGTGTCTGTCTCATCCTCAAGGTCTTAGACCAATGTTCCCTAACAGAGCAGAGTAAAGCTTCATTTGGCTGGGCCATCTAGCCTTCAGCTCTGCTTTAAAAAACAAAAAACCACGTCACAAGGTAATAGGGGACATGAGGTCACTCTTGGCCTAGAAGAATGTGCGTCTCATGCCCTCAACAGTAATAATAATAGGAAGGACAAGTACAGTGTATTGTGTGCTCACTGTGTGCCTTGTATTACTCATGGGATCTCAAAGTTGCCATGTGAAATGGGTATTCTCTTTGTCCCCATTTTACAAATGAGTTAGTGAAGGCATAGGGCAATGAAGTGACTAGCCTGAGTTCTAGTGGACTGGTAAAAGGAATTGCTTAACCATTTATTCAACCATCACTGAGCACATGCTCTGGGCCAGACTGTGTATGGGGCACAAAGCAGACATGGTCACTGCCTCCACAAAGCTCAAGGTCAAGCATACTTTACAGGACAGATCAGGTGTGCACATGTGCATGCATGAGCCCAGCCGTCCTGGGTGGGGTGGGCTTTGTTCTGGGCCACTGTGCTCTCTGGCTAGAGAGGAAAAGAGGCACCTCCTGCTCAACCTTCTCCAGGTGGACAGAGTTCTAAAACCTGAATATGTTCATATAATCATTCTAGATAACTAATGCATGTAC